TTGGATTGTCTGTTTTTTCTTCATTAGAGCAAACACCTTGTTCTAAAAGTAGTATTCTTATAATTTTGAGGTTTTTTTTTAATTCCTCTCCTAATCTTCTGAATATATTTCAATTTCTTTCTTAACTTGTGGTGACCAGAATTAGCCAACCATTTAACCAGCCAAGAGAAGACCCATCACCAGCTTTAGAAAATATGCTTCTATTAATGTGTTCTAAGTTTTCATTAACTATTTTGTTTACACTGTACTATTGATTGATACTGAATTTATTGTCCAGTAAATCACCTAGAATTTTTCATATGCTCCTTGTATGCCACGTTTCTCCCATCCCCATTTACAAAGTTTTTCTTTTATCCAAGCTCATATCCCTATATTTATCTTTTTAAATTTCATCTCATTTTTTTGTTCATTGCTCAAACTGTAAAGATATTTTTCCAGTTGAGATATAAATGACATATAACATTGTGTAAGTGTAAAGTACAAGTGTTGGTTTGATACATTTATATATTGCAATATGATTGTAGCATTACCTAACACCTCCATCATGTCACATAATTATCATTTCTTCTGTGCGGTGAGAATATTGAAGGTCTAGTCTCTTAGCAGCTTTGAAGTATATAATATGGTATTGTTAACTATAAGCACAATGCTATGATCTCTAGAAGTTCCTCATGTTCTAACTGCAAGTTTGTACCCTTTGACCAGTATCTCCCCAGTTCCTCCACCACCAGCTCCTGAACCACTGTTTGTACAAGTTCTGCTTTTTTTAGATTCCACATAAAAGTGGCAGCAAACAATATTTGTTTTTCTCTGTCTGCCTTATCTCACTTAGCATGTTGCTCTCAAGGTCCATCCATGTTGTTACAAATGGCAAGATTTCCTTCTTTCTCATGACTGGATAATATTTCATTTTACATACATATATACATATATGTGTGGAATATATATGAATGGAATATCATCATATTCTTTTTTACACACACACACACACACACACACACACACACACACACACCCTACATATTTATCCATCAATCCACTGACAAACACTTGGTTTGGTTTCTGTATCTTGGGTAGCATGAATAATGCAATTGCAGTGAACATGGAAGTTCAGGTATCTTTTCTATATCTTGTTTTTATGGTATTTGGACATATACCCAGAAGTGCGATTGCTGGATCAGATGGCAATTCTATTTTTAATTTTTTGAAGAACATCCGTACTTCAAAAACTTCCATAGTGCCTAAATCAATTTATATTCCCACCAAGAGTGCATGACTATTCCCTTTTCTCTACATGCTCAATAATACTTATTATTTCTTGACTTTTTGTTAATAGAGCATCTGACAGGTGTGAGGTGTTATCTCCTTGTGGTTTAGATTTGCATTTCCCTGATAATTAGTGATGTTAAGTATCTTTCCATGTACCTGCTGGCCATTTGAGTGTCTTCTTTGGAAAAATGCCTATTCAGTGCCTCTGTCCGTTTTGTTTTGTTTTGTTTTGTTTTACTGGATTTTGTTGTTGTTGTTGTTGTTGTTGTTGAGTCACGTGAGATCTTTATATATTTTGCAAATTAAGCCCTTTACCAGACACATGGTTGCAAATATTTTCTCCCATTCTTCAGGTTGCCTTTTCATTTTGGTGATGATTTCTGTAGCTATGCAGAAGTTTTTATAGTTGGATGTAGTCCCACTTGTTGATTTTTACTCTTGTTGTGCAAAGATGGTTTTGATGATTGTATGTGATCCTTGAAAAGGGAAAAAAGCAACATGGAGTGAAACTGTAATCATGTGGAAATGAGATCAAACATCCTCCTTACTTCTTGGAAGATACAAATAATGGCCCAAAACAACAAATAAGCCCTCCCTCATCACTACCTCAAATTTATGGTTTTACCTTGCTAATAAATTTACCAAAGCTTTGAGGGGGGAAATGATGATCCTCAAGGATTAATCTTTATTCATAAGAGCTTTCCCAACTCCTCACTAGAGGAACTAAATGACATGTTTTCCACGGTGGCCAGTGTGAGAAGAGCAGTCCAGTATGCCACCATGCATGCTCCCAGCTCTACTGTGTCCCTGGGTCATGGGCCCTTCCAAGGCCACAGAGCTCAGAGTCTGAAGTCCTAATTTTGTGCACAGGTATGTACTTCTCTGCACAGGAGAAACCAATTTCCCCTGCCTCATTCCGCTCTACCCTGAGAAATTAAATAGTTTCTTGACAGTCTGTCTCCCTAGGGAGTTTGACTGGAGGAAAGAAAAAGCTGGCCTCCACCTACGCAAAACTGTTTGAGTTTGAGTCCTTGGTTATGCACCCTTTTGCAAAACTTTTTTTTTTTCCTTTTTTCCTTTATGACATTAACAAAATCTGTTTCTCTGAAAACTAGAATCAGTTACCTCTAGAAAAGAAAACTAGAAGAATTATGCAGATTTTCCCTTCTGTATTTACAGATAAACCCCAGTGAATTATCATGAGCCCCTCTGCTTAGAGGGACACACAAGAAGTAGATGCAAGTAAGGATTCCAGTATGTCAATAGCCACTATGCCCCATGCCTGTTCGCCCAGAGAGAGGGCGGTCACTAAGTAGCTCTCTAGATAGCTTTTCCTCCGCTCTGTGTGTGTAATTCTTTGGGCAGTGCAACTATGTAGCAAAATATAACAACAGACTGTTTTTCTTAAATATAGTTGTATGTCAGGCAGCCCAGGAGAAGTGTAGACTCCAAACACATTTGATAAAATACCAAATATAAATACTGAACTACTGGTATTCAGGGACACACAGAGATCAGTTAGAAAAACAGAGGCAACCTGCTCCAAATGGTATGGGTACTTACACAAGAGAAATCAGTGAGTAGTAGTTTTTGTTTTTTGTTTTTGTTTTTTAATTGACAGAAGGAAAATGTTTATGGCATAACATACACAGTTACCTCAGAAAAAACACAAGGTATTTGCTTGTGATTTTTTTTTTCTAATGAGCCAAAGGATTTAAAAAACAGTGAAAAGTCCTGCAAATCTCATATAGTATTTGAACTCCTTTTCAATGGTTTTAAACCACAACATTGCATGCAGCATGGCATTTCTCTATGAATTTTCCAAAATCGGATAGTTAGCAGTGAGAAAATGAAGGTCTTCAATTCTCAAGAAGGTGACTGAATCATTCTGCAAACTTCCAGGATAAGATATAGATAAGGACCTCTGTTTGGTATAAAGCTTTTTGTATTTACGTATGTGTATTTACGTATATGTGGGGGGGGGGTGCTCTGAAGAAAAAATATAGATAAGTACAAAAGATAATCAAATAAATACTCCTTTGTGCAATACTCCAATTAAAAAATATTAATATTTTATTATTGTTGCAGGTCTTTGTAAAAGAAATGATCAGATAAAGTTAAAAATCCCTTCTTTTCCAATCACATTCCCCATCATTATCCCCCAGAAGCATCCAAGGTCATGGATCAAGTTCATGTTTTCATCACTTTACTATACATATCATCTGGAAATTAATAAGAGATACTGTTTTGCATACTTATGAAGATTATGTTAATAATACAAGTTATATTTAATATTTTACAGCTATTTTTCCACTCAATGTTATTTTACGATCTCCTCTTTGAATCCTATAGATAAGTTATTCATTTTAAGTGTTGTTTGTATATCTCATCATATAATGAGATCCCCATTTTTATTCATTCCTGAAAAGAGAAAAATATGGATTGTTTTTCAGTTAAGTTATTAAAAATACTGTCATTAATGTCTCCTCATACACTAGTGTATGCATATGTGAAAGTTTCTCCAGTGTATAAATATGAGAGTGAAATTTGTTAGCTACATTGTTATGTAGCCAATAGTATTCTTCAAAATGATGGTTGAGAGCTTTTTGTTTACCCACATCCTCTCTCAAAATTGGTGCCCTGTGACTTTTTAACTGGGGGAAATTGGTTATGGAATAGTTGTTTTATTCAAAATTTTCTGAGTATAAGTTTTGAGCATTTATTAATCTAACTTGGGGCATTTATATTTTCTCTTCTGTAAACTGCCCGCCCATCTCCTTTGCCCACTTGTCTATTAGGTAATTTGCATTTTTCAGTTGTGATATGTTACTTCTGTCTTACAGATAATAATCCTTTGTATCTTCTAGTCTGGTTTTCATTTTTCACTTTATTTTATTATTATTTAATAATATTTTCCTTCTTGACTTACTCTCGTAAGAAATCCTTTTCCTGCCCTGAAACTGTAAAAGCATTTTTCCATATTTTCTTGCCATAGTTTTAGAATTGTTTGTAACATCGACCCCTAATTTGACTGAAGTTTATTTGTGTGTTACCGCTTAGAGGTGTAATTTTTTTCATGTATAAATCTAATTGTATCAACACCATGTATTGAATTTTTTTTCTAAGTGATAATGAGGTGTCCTCTAACTTAAGCCATGATTGCATATATGCCTGAGTCTGTGTCTCAGCACAATACAAATTCCTTCTACTGATCTATTTATGTATTCCCATGCCAATGACATACTGTCCTAATTATTATTGTTTCATATTATTGATAAGATATCCCCACTTGTTCTTGTTTCCAGAAGTTTCTTGTTTTATTTCTGTCCTTTTAGTCCTCCACATAAACTTTAGAATCCCTTTATAGGTTTCCATGAATGATTCCATTAGAATTTTTATTGCAGGCATATTGAATTTATAGAATAATTTGGGACAATTAACATTTTGAAGATATCCCATGTTCCTGCTTGAGAAAATGACCTATCTCTATCCGGGTTTATTTTGTGTTTTTGACAAAGTTTTATAATATTTTCCAAAAGTTGGAAAGTTTTTAAGATAGTCTCCTAAAAATTTTTTCTTGAGAATTTTTCATTTGACTACTAGAGCTTATTCAGTTTCTTTTTTTTTACCTTCATTCATCTCCCATCCCAATTAAACTGTGCTCCCTTCAGCAGAGGCAATGTATCTTTCTTTTAATTTTTTCATACCTTCTGTTTTCTCTTTTCTTTCAGCCATTGGGTCCGAAAGTAGCTGAAATGCGAAAAAGACAGCAGACACAAAATGAAGGAACACCTGCTGTGTCTCAAGGGCCCGGAAACCAGAGACCCAACAACACATGTTGCTTCTGCTGGTGCTGTTGCTGTAGCTGCTCCTGGTATGTGGCTCTCTGGGTAGGACCCCACCCCTGCACTAGCGGGGAGACTAACTAGAATGAATTTGCAGCTTTGTTCTTGGTATCCTGGAAACTTCTCAGTCTGTCTCCCTTTCCTCCCTTACAAGTAGGAATTATTGGAGACTGTCCCTGGAAATAGAATATTTCCCCAGAATCTACATTTAAATTGAGATTAAGGCAAACAGTGAAAACTTATTTTTTAATCCTGTTTTTCTCCATCCACATTTCTTAAAGAGATGGGTAAAAATAAGATTATGGTTAGAGACTTGTTTAACCCTAAACAAAATTCTCCAATGTTCCAGAAGGTACAAGAACATTAAGATAACATCTATTAGTCCTGTACATCATCGTCGATGTTGTGTTTTAGCCATGTGCTGTTTCTTGGAATGCTGATCATTCTGTCACAGAGTCACAAACGGTGAATCAGAGTGGCATGCTCAGCCACAGACGCCTGATAGAGGACAGAGAAAGAAGTGCCACAAACCGTGTCCACAGGTCTGAAAGGCCGGGGGCTTTGACCGGTATGAAGGCCAAGTCAGTCAACTAAAATCTCCAGATTTTAAGAGCCAGAGAACCTACTTTGCTTTGTGATTTTATTCCTGACAGGTTCTGTGACATCATCCAAAGTTTTAAACTCTGCTTTTTGGCAAAATGATGAAGTTAGATAAGCTGACTCCTGTCTAGTACTAAATGTCCATGATTCAGGTGCCTCAGAAAACATGCTCCAGTTCCAAATTCCCCAAGTGCCTTCCAATAAGAAAATCAGCAGGACCAAGAGTCCTAAGATGAGATCTCCCAGGGGGATGCTAGACTTAATGGAACTTTCCATAGAACCATAAGTTTTGGGGTCCTTGAAGATCCAGTTCACAAGTGGATCTCCTGGATTAGTCCCGGTCTTCTGGATCTCCCTGACTTAGGTCAAAGCTTTGAAGAAAAGCCCAAATGCCTGAATCGTCTTCTTGTATATGATTTTTACACTCTTCCTGAGGTTATTGGTATGAGATGGTAGCATAATATTCTATCATTGTGGCCAATATAGAGGAGACTTGTCATGCTCTAGTGGTAACCTTGGTCTTGAACAAGCTCTGTTCCTTCTAGGAAACTTCATTTCCAGAAAACCATCAGATAGTTTAGTAATTTGGAAGGTTTAGTTTTTATATATATCAAAATTGCCTCTCAGATGATGATTTTTTGTTAAGGAAAGTCATAAGGGACTCTTTTCCTTTCCTTTGTAAGCCTTAACTATTTCAAATGGGGGAAATATGTCAATGAAATTGTATATATTTTTTTCACTTATCTCTGCTTAAGAGATCATCTACCTCTGGTCTGAATCCATGGAGTGAAGTGTAGCAACTTAATATGGTGGGTTGGAAGTCAGATTGCCTGAGCTCAAGTCTCATCTTCATCATCACTGTCTGACTTTCAACAAGTTACTTAATGTCCTCAAATTCCTCATATGTCAAAATACAGTGATAAAAATTCCTACTTCATAAGGTTGTTGTAAATAATAAATGAAATAAAACACATACAAGCTGAAAACAGTGTCTGACACATAGTATGCATTTAAGAATTAGGTCACTGGGGGACACCTGGGTGGCATGGTCGGTTAAGTGTCCTATTCTTGATTTCAGCTCAGGTTGTGATCTCAGGGTCATGAGACTGAGCCCTGCATCAGGCTCTGCGCTCAGCATAGAGTCCACTTGGACTCTATCCCTGTCCCTCTGCACCCCCACCCTGCACCCCTTCCTTCCCATGCTCGACCTCGCTCTCTCTCTCTCTTGCTCTCTCTCGCATTAGCTCACTGGGTTATAGAACACTTCATATTGGAAAAAATATAATCTCCTTAAAGAGGAGCTGGCTTGAAATTATATATATATATATATATATATGTGTGTGTGTGTATTTTTTTTGAAAGATCTGCTTAGGGATATAATATAAAAACTAATCTTAGGAAAGCTATTTTATTTTAGATTTTTTTGTAAGACATCGCAAATATATTGTTACACAGTGTTGAAGATTATATTTCTATTTCTCATTTGCATTATGCCATGTTCCAGAAATCAGTATATGATTTTATTTACCTGCCAAAATTTATTTCTGAATTGCTTCAGGATTATAACACCAGAATAGATAAGAGTACTGAAGTTTTGTTGCACTACATTCATTTGCTGTCAAACAGCTATTTGGTGAATTTTGTTGTTGTTGTTGTTGTTTCCTCTCCTACATATATTTAGTGAGATCTGCTTTTATAAAGTGTACACTGAATCACAAAACATTCAACATGAGCTCATGAGCATCAACCAGTCACAGAACACAGACTATGGATGGAACACAAATGCAGCTTTTGGAAGCTGCATTAACTCTCTATGCCTCTAAAGTGACACCAGTTTGAGCTCACACATTTGGCGCATTGGATGAGGGCTCTGCTAGATTCAAGTGCCATATTGTCAAGGACTGTGTTTATTAGCAATGATTCATGGATGCCTGAGTCTAAGCCATAAAACACACAGTCTAGGGACGCTTGGGTGGCTCAGTTGGTTAAGCAGCTGCCTTCAGCTCAGGTCATGATCCCAGCGTCCTGGGATCGAGTCCCGCATCGGGCTCCTTGCTCAGCAGGGAGCCTGCTTCTCCCTCTGCCTCTGCCTGCCGTTCTGTCTGCGTGTGCTCGCTCTCTCTCCCTCTCTCTCTCTGACAAATAAATAAATAAAATCTTTAAAAAAAAAAAAAAACACACAGTCTATAAACTTATAAGTCTTCCATAAATGATAAATCATAGGTAATTTCAAATATTAACAACTTGAAAAAAATGAAAGCTCAGTTGCCTTAACTATGAATTCTAATTGTGATATCTCATTGCAAATGAGAATCTCAATACATGCACTTTGAAAATATCATTGTTTTTATATTTTGAGTTTAAGAAAAATATTTTAAAGCCTTATGAGAGTGGAAAAACAAAAGAAATAAATGTTCTTCAAATTTTCCAGGCTGGGTCAGAGGAGCAGAACGGAAAGAAACACTAAAAAATGTTAATTTGGGGACCAAAATAAAACTAGAAATCAAAATTTGAAGTCACTGTCACTTGTGAAAATGAATAGTTGTCACGTAGCTGATTTCCCCTCCTTTTAAGGAAATAGAATGCTGAGAAAGTAAATTTCTATATCTAGTAATAAATACAAGTGCCTCACCCTCGCCTCGCATGTTATAGGTTTTTTCAGCAACATAGTATTTCCCTCAAATTTACATTTCACTTTCATATTTCAGCATCAGCTCTTCTCCCATACATATTTAAACTTATTCCTGTCTTAATAAAATTACCACTGTGCTTTTTTCGGGGGGGGGGGGGGAGGATACAGAGATTATGAAACTGCTAAATATTTCCACGGTTTCCTTCCAACATCTTTATCCATAATGACTTGTTAAGCCCATCTGTTCTCTGTCCCTTTCAAGGAACCACTTCTGTCCCCAAATCAGTCTCTTTCCTTTCTCTCCCTACAGTCTTCCATTTCAACAGGAGAAAACAAGGGAATGTCGTTTAGAGCATGTGAGCTGTGTAACAGAAATGAATCACAGAGGTCTGAGTTTGGGCCATAAAATGAACCATGTATAAATCTGCAAGTCCTTCCGTACATGGGACTAAGCTGTTCCTGATCAGGAGGACAGAGAATTTTGTCAAGACAACTTGTCTATAGGTTCAGCGTTGCCACTATGAAAATTTAATAGCCCTCTGAATTCAAGATTCAAACAGAGGTAGTTAACTCACTTCTCTTTTCTTGATGAGAATGAAATTCTTGAACTATGTGGGCTCTCCACCAAACTCCATCTCCAGGATAGTAGGGGGCAGTGAGGCCATTCATACATGCGCACTTGAGATGACACAGGGGATGGGCCATTGCAGAGTAGAAACTGCTGTGGGATCCCGACAGCAAGGTGCCTCAAGAAGGAGATGGAAAGGTAGAGATTTCAAGATTTATGTCAAGCTTAGAGCTAGTTCCCAAATTGTCTCCCAGACCCTCTTCTAATATAGAGTTTATGTTAAAATAACCCAGATTGTTTTCTTTCTCAAAGAAGTCTCTAGATGCTAATCCATCCCTGTTTTAATTCCTTGTTGCTCCTGGTAGTGTCCTATCAAGCAAGACAGAGTTCCATGTTCAACCATAAAAAATTAGAACTCAAGAGACTTCAGTTCTCATCTCTCCAAAATGTTCCTACTGACAGGACAGATGTGACTAAGTAAAGGTTCAGCACTTCATAAACATGCTTTCAGCTGCCCCCTCCCTCCATTCTTAACAAGTACCCCAGTTTTAGTAATGCAAAACAGTGCAAAAATCATGTCCTGTTTTATCCGCTGATGCTGTCACACTTTAGCTATCTGCCAGTGAAAATACTATGATGCATGCTTTAAACGCCAGAGGTTAGTTATTTTTCAAAAGGGAAAACAAAATCCATGTCTGCTCCATGGTGAAGAAACCAGCCCCTGGAAATAAATCTGCTACCACACGCAAGGTGAATCATTATTTTTTTTTAAAGATTTTTTTTATTTGACAGAAAGACACAGCGAGAGAGGGAACAGAAGCAGGGGGAGTGGGAGAGGAAGAAGCAGGCTTCCTGCAAGGAGCCTGATGCAGAGTTTGAACCCAGGACCCTGGGATCATGACCTGAGCCAAAGGCAGATGCTTAATGATTGGGCCACCCAGGCGCCCCAAGGAGGCACCGGTGATAAACATTTTACCTGTCACGCTCAGAGACTTGATCATCTCACATGAGAGAGAGTAAGTTACATGCCTAGGACTTCCGAAATCCTTGCAAACAGATCCTCATAGGTATCTCTTACAAACAAGTCTGTGGTTTCGAAGCTCATCTCACCATGGCATAGGTGAATTTCCTCAATAGTTTCTATGACTTACGTAAACCTAAAACTCAGACAATCAAAACCCATCTACTAAAACGAACCTTAGTTTCCCAGGTCATAGCCACAAGATCAG